TTTGTCGTTAAAAATTACCTTTAATTACATACGTATCAATGTCATGAATAATTTGATTATTATCTCATGTTGTTCCTGTAAGGTGAAATTTACTTTTAATCGGACTTCTTTCGTATTTTACTTGTTGGTAGAGATCACACTGGTTTCTTACAATGTGAATTAGTTGCATAAGTTTTGGGTAATATATTTTATTTTTAATGTTATAAATTTCTATTATTTCTGAATATGATAGAATGAAATTTACTTTATGGCTTCAACTTCTGTCTCAATGTCTATTGCTCTCATGGTAGATTTTATGAACTTAATTGACTATCATTTGAACACATATCTAATAACTCCTGTTGTACCAAGTTGTAGCTATGCTATGATAACTCTGAATAAATGCCAATTTTACCTTTGAAAATACATCTTCTAAAAATATCTCCCATTTGTTCCAAGTCGCATTTTGCAATAAAAACAAGCTTCTTCCCATGTATTTTTTATATTCTTCTTTTTTTATTTGTTAAAATTATTTAAACTTTTTATTTATTCACGATTTCTTCTTTTATACATTAAAAAAAATCCTCTCATAAATCTACTTATGCTGAATGTATTGTTGACATAGTTACGTCGTCCTCAATATCATTAGCTGAAAAAATATCAGAATCTTTTTTCCGATCTGCTTAAAAAGTCGGCTACTCTGTTTTCTTTACTTTTTAAATATTCAATATCGAACTAGTATTCCCCTAATTTCAAGAGCTTTCGCTGGTGTCTTGGCGACATGTCTTTTATTCTGCGTTTGGAATGGAGATATTTAATTGGCTGGCGATCAGTAAGATTTTTAAATTTATTACCATAAGTGCAAAGCCCAAAATAATTTACACTCCCTTTATTTCAAAGAATTCTTAATCCGTTGCAGAGTAGTTTTTCTCATGATTATATTTAAAATGTTCTTGAAGCGTAGAACACCGGGTGACCTTCTTGTGATAATACCGCACCAATCGCATAATTAGATGTGAATTGTATATGGAAATCTGGATTTCGTAAAAAATTATGTGTACTAATTAATGTTTTTATTTTTTCGTAAGCTTCAATGTATGTTGGATATTTGACATTAATTTTTTAACCTTTCTTTAAATATTTTGTTATAGATATAGCCACTTTTGCATAATTATCAATAGGTTCGCGATAATAATCCGTTATTCCCAAAAAGTTTTTATCTGTTTTACTGTTCTTGGTAATTCTAAATTTCGAATAACTCCAATTTTTTTTGTTAATTTAATTATTTCATTTTTCTTGCATTTCTCGGATCTGTTTCCTTACTTCTGCTTCGCCTGGAAGTGGATATCTATATAGTTTTGAATAAATTTGCTTTGTTGAATATCTGTTGTATTAGTTAATAAATCGCCTTCTCTAAACAATAATAATCAAAAGTCTAACCTAGAAAAATAACTTAGACAAAAAGATTACTCGAACCAAATTGATAATTGTGAACTTGCATTGAATTGTAGAAGTCCAAACTGAGTCTAGAAAACGAAGTTTTAGTTTTTAATATGCTTATAAAGCCATCTTGGACGTACGGGATCCAAATTTTGGGGCCTCATTTAAATCTGGCCTAGATAGAATTCAAAGACTGCAGTCTAAAGCATTAAGATAAATATGCAAAGACCCTTGGTATGTAAAAAACTCCACAATTCACAACGATCTCGGGAATAAAACCGTCACCGAGGAAATAGAGAAACTGCTTAGAAATTACTCATTAAGGTTATCTAACCACCCAAACCTTCTAGCTAAGAAATTATTACAGTAGAACTACTCTAAGCGATTAAAGAGAAAGGATTTACGTTTGAACTGTAACTAAGGGCTCTGCCGCATCCAATTATTCTACATCGGAGTAGCACTCCGCATATATACTTCAAATTATCCTTTATGATATATCCTTTTTAAATTTTAAACGTGAGTGTATCCCTAATGATATCTATATAAACACATTATTTGATAAATCTAAGTTACATTCGTAATTTATTGTACTTTGCTTACTTTGTTAATCTATTCAGTAGTAATGACTAACTTGTTCCAGGAATAAGAATTACCTTTAAGATTTTCGAAATTATTGTTTGTTTCCATAAAGGAAAGATTCAATAAAAAATTATACAAAAACAAAACAATAATTTGTTGTATCTATTAAATCGATATTTTGAAATTTCCCTACGTTCTCCATTATTTAAATGATTTAATTGAAGCCTTTCGAATTTAGGATCTCCAGTTTCAAGCGTATAAATTAAATTTATTAAGAAAATATTGCGCTTTTCTTTATTTATTTGTGCATTTGAAAAGTTTAATATATCGATGCCTATAATAAAATCAGAAGTTCTTCCTCTTAAAGGAGTAATCTTCCAACGAATACTGGCATTGTTAGGTAAATCTATTGGTTCCGGGCTTTTTGTGTGTCTTTCATAGCTCATTGTGCCTTGAATTCTCTAATTGTTGAAATCGTCCGGAAAATTTGCTATATCTTACATTATTTTGAAATCTGAAACTTCCAGAAATATTAATTTTATTATTAATATTATTATTTTTATAGTTATTCCTATTAAAGCTGTTTTGTTCTACATGCCTATAAAAATTTGGATTCCATTTGTCTCTGTTCTGATACTGACGCTTCTTAATTGCTTCTCGATCATAATATTTCCAATCAAAATTTTGTTTATTTTGGTACTGATAGCTATGTCTTCTTCTTGTGATCCGGTCTTATGTACATATCTTCATATCGTCTTTGGTTCATTATATATAAAATATTCTTTAATTCTCTCTATAGTATTACTAACAAGCTGTCTATATTTGTCAAGTCTATGTCATGTCTATGGTATATTACATTAATTCATCTGTTTATTTAATACTTTAATACTTTGAAACTTATAAATTAATTCACCTACTGTATTTACTCGTAAATTTGATGAGGTTCGGTAACCGGTTTATATCTCAACTTTAATGTGTCCTTGATAACTTTCCAGTTTTCCGGCTCGGGGATATTGATAATGGAATTTTTTTAGTGGTTCGTACACCTATTTAAATTCCTGGAATTGCGACCGACAAATAATTTTAAGTCTGGAAACGAGTTTGTTGTTAAAACTTTATTTTTTTATTTTAAATTTATTTATACCTGTTATCTTTTCGATAAATTCGTCACTCTTGTTATTTTTAAGATAATTGTTTTGTATATGTGTTTGTATATGCAACTCGCGCTGCTCTTAAAATCAACTGTTTCTTTGTGCAAGGCTTGCAATAAATCTCTTCCACTCTCTGACGTTGACCAGCCTGATTATGGAAATGCTCATGAGAGTTAGGCTGCAACTACCCATTTCACTTACCAGCCGTCCATAACTGGCGACGAAAAGGCGAGATACACACACGAGTTATCGACGCTGCTGAGAGCACCGAAATGTTGCCAGCTGCCTGTGTGTTTGCACGCTTTTGAACAAATTCATGATTTTCGTCAACGAAATTCATAATTTATATGCTTGAACATAAACGCAAGACAAATATACAAGATATATATGGTAACAAATAATTAATTCCGCATTTAGTTTTCATTTCTTTTTGAACAAACCTACGCATTATCTTCGATTATTTAATGTTAATTTAAGAAAGGCTATACTGGCAACCTTGTATAGCAACGAAACATGAGCCGAGCCGGTTTTACGGAAAAAATCAAATCTTCGTTGGTTTCTGCGGAACAACCTTCACTAACGGCATGGGCAAGCGCTCTCATAAGATAGGTTACTATGGACGGCTGGTACGCGTGTTGGGTAGTTGCAGCATTAGCCAAAAGGGTTGCGTGAAGTGTTGTCGTTTGTGTCTGAGCTGCGGAGAAAAAAACAATTAACGTGTTCTTTTTCCATTAGGGGCATAGTGTATTGTTGTAACTACTCAAGGGCGAGATACATGCACGGACAACCGTCACTAACGGTATGGGCAAGCGGTGACAACTTTGTGTTTACATGGCGCTCTCATAAGATAGGTTGCTATGGATGGAAGGCACTTGAGTTGGCAGAATATTGTTGCAACTACCCGTTTTACATACCATCCGTCCATAACAGGTGACGTCGGGAGCGAGATACCTATACGAGTTATCGACGCTGCTGAGAACTGCGGAATGTTGCCAGCTGCCAGTGTTCGTCAACAAATTTTATAATTTATGTGTCCGAATATAAACGCAAATCAAATATACTTGTACATTATCCATATAGTAACGAATAATTAGCTACGCATTTAATTTTCATTTCTTTTGAATAAAGGCTACGCATTATCTTATATTATTTAATATTACTTTAAGAAAGACTATACTTGTATAGCAACGAGAAATGAGCCAAGCCGGTCTTATGGGAAAAATCAAATGCGGCATAGTCACAAATTTTTTTGTGTTGACGAATATCAATTATTATTCAGTATCTCCAAACAGATATAAATATTCTATTTCCGCAGTATGTGCCGGTGGTAACAAAATTAAACAACAGGCGTAGTCGACCATGGTGCAATAATTATAGCAACGGTATTGTTCATGGCCGCAACAGGGCTTATCGAAATTGCAAACACTTGAAATGTGAAGCAACCTATACTCACAGAAGAATTGAGGTCTTTCTAATGCCATTAAATTGACATGAAATTATATTTGTGAAACAGAAATTGGAAGCAAAACAGATTCCCTTTCATAGTATACAAACATAAATAGGTTGAACGAAAATTTTGTGTATTTGTATGACTGCAACAGTTACATTATATGTGTAGGGCAAGGTATAGTGGTTATACTAGTGGAATGGTACCTGCAGTGCAATTCTGTAACTTTTATCGACACGATTTGTCAGATCGCAAAGTTGCGAATTTTGTCGCTTGCGCTAACGATTATGCGATTCTCTAACTCAGTTGTTACGATAATCGACATTGCACATTTCCATTTTATTAAAATGTGGGAAAGGTGGCACCACAACTGAACGAAACGAAAAAAAGAGGAATGACAAAAACATATAAATTCGTTATTCCAAATTAGTAAGTACATATTTTTCCGCTTGCTTTTGAATATATTTTTGAAAAATGTATGTAAAATGAAACGTTTATTAGTTTTTGTATTATCAGACATGCCTTATTGTGTGCATAATTGTAGAATGGCTACGGCAAAAAGAAACCGAGCTACGATGGAGCAGCTAATTCGAATGATGGATTTTTTCGGAGAAACGCCGGGCTTGGCAGGGTCTCGGTTCCAGAAACTCCATGAAAAATCAGACTGCGATAGGAAGTGGAGCGAATTAGCTAGTACGCTGAATTGCCTTGGTGGTGCTGTGAAAAGCGTCGAACAATGGCGCACGGTATGTAAATAATTTTAAGCAATTTGGCAGTATGTTAAAATTATATTTTACAAATAGGTATGGAGGGATCTAAAAAGCCGTACCAGCATCAAGGTCCGAGACCGGATTTGGAACATATCTAGTATATGTTTTCATGTCATTTCGGTTTTTTTCGAAAAGATGTTAGCAGAGTCGAGTGCAGCATCCACCCAAATTGCAGGTAATTTTTTTTAAAATGCTATAGAATTACATGCAATTATTTGTATTATTTTTTTTAATAGTTGTTAGCTGAAAGTAATGCGGCGACCACGCAGGCATTGGCAGATGCTATGACCACAATGGGTGAAGGATTGGAAGCTTGTGCAGCTGCCTCAACAATTTAGCCGACGCAATTAGCCGTATGTTAATATATTATATTATAAAGTTTAAAGTTATTTTTTTTAGATTAGAGTTAATTTAAACATAGTACTAGAAGTTCTTTTTTTTTATTTATATTATTCATTTAAGTTTTAATTTGAAAAAAAAAAGGTTTTGGAGAGTATTTCTTTATACTTGAGTTTAAATCTGACTTCATATTAGATATACTATGATCAATTTCTCTTTACATACGTGTACATTAATTAAAGAAGTAATGCAGTTATGAACATGAGAGATTCTCCTTTAAGAAACTTGAATGTGATGATATGTGGTATTTAAACCCATATGAAAATACTTATCTGTGATTATATACTGAGATATGTAATAAATTATGCATTTAAATTAAGTTGAAAATAATAAGACTGAAAAATTTGTTACCAAAAATATGTAATAAAATTACAAATTATGTAAATTATATTCCGGAGGAACTCTTGCTCAAGCTCATATATTTGGTCACCTCATCGAATGTTATGTAACACTAAGCACGCATTGACTATTCTACCATTGAATCCAGCATCGTACAAAAGAGTTCTCTGTTGAGAAAGGCATCGCCAGGTTCCTTTACAACGCCAAAACGTCGCTCGACTGGGTTTCGTGCTTTACACAATGCCTCATTGTAGCGGAATTTGGGACTTCCTTGAGGTTGGTTTGGAAGAGGAGTCATTAACCACAGCTCTAATGGATATCCAGAGTCACCTGAAAATTTAATTTTTTCATAATTATTTTTAATATATGAGTTTTAATGGTTTTCAAAGTTTACCAATCAAAAATATATTGTGGTTTCCACTTTCAAAACTGCGCTGCATTACTCTTTGCACTATAGAGGAGCTCCAAATGAAAGAATCGTGTCGTGCTCCTGGGTACTTAGCATTGACCGCCAAAATCTTGAAGTAAGGATCACATATCTATGTGAAAATATAATGAACTTTGTTACTACAATAGTAATTGGAAACAAATTTACTCTCACCATTTGCACATTGACGGAATGGTATCCATGGTGGTTTACATAAGCTTCTTCATGAGTTTTGGGACTCATGATTGACACATGAGTGCAATCGATAGCTCCAATAGTGCCTCCAACAAATGGTGACGATGATGAAGCAAAAATTTCCTTTTCGGCTTGCCGCTCTATTTGCGTCATTGGAAATCTAACCTTCGCAGAAAACATCGAACGGTTGATCGCGTCTGTTACGCGATGAATGATCTCCGACGGGACGCTGATAGCATCCAGTTGCAAAAAATCTCAAGGCGGCTAGAACCTTTAAACATTTTAATAATACTGTTAAGACTAAAAAAAATATATTGAAAAAATATATTATTACCTGTTTCTCCGTAGACAATGCTGTTATTCTTCTTCCTTTTAGTTGACAATAAAGTTGAGAAACGATTTCTTCAACTAAATCCGGCGTTAATCTATATAGCTGCCGAAACTCGGTAGCATCCAAATGAAAAGGATCTCCCGCTTCTCGACGTAAACTTCTATCCAATGATGAAGGGTAGGATGCCTCTTCATCTTGTGATAAATCGTATGCCAAATATTCAAAAGCCATTTATTTTATTATTTTATTTTTATTTTTGTATAACTTGGACAATTTCCCGGACACTTTACTCTCAAAATTTTGTCGATATCGCTACAACTTAAAAATATTCGTCGCTTAGTTAACGATTTTTCGAGTAGTTTACGACAACAGTGAGAGCGAATATCGTTAAAACAAGTACACCGAATATTAAAATCGTTAGAATTATCGCTAAGTCTTCTTTGCGATCCGAAAATCGTTATACCATTTTAGAGAATAGCGATTATCGTTAAAAATATCGTTAAGTCTTCTTTGCGATCCGAAAATCGTTATACCATTTTAGAGAATAGCGATTATCGTTAAAAATATCGCTAAGTCTAATTTGCGATCCGAAAATCGTTATACCATTTTAGAGAATAGCGATTATCGTTAAAAATATCGCTAAGTCTAATTTGCGATCCGAGAATCGTTATACTGTGTTTAGAGAATAGCAAAATCGTTAAAATTATCGTTAAGTCATTATAACGATCGGAAAACCGTTATAATACGATAGAGAATTGCCCTACTGATATCACTTTCTCAAATATTGATGGTTGCGCAGTTGTCGAGTCGGTCATCAGCATAAAATCTATTACGATTGGAATAGACGGCGTTCATCTTTAATGTTTTAAATGTATACTGCCTAAAATTTTCATATGTAACATATGCTTTAAACAACATTTTGGCCATGTCTGTTTTTCCTCCATATTAAAAGGCGGCAAAAATCATACCAAATAAAAAATCTAACGGAAAGTATCGGAATAAATATATATCATTAGCGCTTTGTAACCGCTTAACCGTTTTTTGGTCAAGCTCCTCTCCCCAATTTGTGGTTTTGCTTTGATGTTTTTCCAACGAATGGAGGGACCTACAATTTATTCATGTCAGAAATACACTCGGAGGGGTTGATATTTTCTACCGAGGGGCGACCGCAATGAGTAAATTTAGCTTAATATTTTATTTAAATTAATTTTCTATGATTAGTATTGTATGAAACCATGATTTGAACCCTAGCCTTCCGAATGGCAGTACTTTTTAGATTTTTGTGTTAAGATTTGGTATAGTCTTCAATTAGCGAATTACCGAAAATCGCACAGTACGAGTATCTATAAGGCTGTCACCTTCTGCTATTGACTTTTGCGTACTGGGGTCGTACGCTTTAGTTCTTGAGCGCGTAGTATTCGTCCTCAGTATTGAAAAATTGGAATATTTGGTTTCTTGCTCTAAGATTTATTGGCTGTGTCAAATTACATTTGAAGGCCGTAACATTACATAAAACAAAAAAGTATGAGACACACGCCAGATAGTGAAATCAATATCTGCACTATTGCCCACATTAAATTTGTAAATTCGGAAAATGAATTTAGTATATGTTCGAGTTTGTGTTTCTTCTAATGTTTTTATTGTCGAAAATGACTGAATATAATTGCAAACTTAACTTCTAACAAATAGTTAAGCTTTCTTTTTGAAGTGAACAAAATATAAAAACAAAATTTACACTTGCTCTTATGTATATACATGTATTGAAATATACGAGTACGCGTGGAAATATATAATATATAATTAGCGCTTTGTAGTCGCTGAAGCGATTTTCGGATCAGCCCCTCCTCCAATTCGTGAGATTTATGTCTTGGTGTTTTCCAACAAATGGAGGGACCTACATTTTATACTAAACCGTCTCCGAACGGCTGACGGCTTTTTATGAGGAGCTAAATTTAGCTATACTTTTTATTTAAATTAATTTTCTATAACTTTTTTGGATGTTAGTATGACACCAGGATTTGGGCCCGAGATTTCCGAATGGCAGTACGCAATGCTAACCACTGGGCGTGTATACGTATGAATAATATTTATATTACATAAAGTAATGTAAAATAAATTATAGTTTATTACATATATCTAAACAGTAAATATATTTTTATGCCAAGATGACAAGATAGCGAAATCTATCTTGTATTTTTAGCATTATTCATACACGCACTCTTTTATGTATGTAGATGTGTAAACAAGACACACCAGCTGTTTTGGTACTTCTCTTTGAGAATAAATATGTATATATGTATGTTGGTGAATCAAAAATTCGATTTATTGTAATTGCTGCCAAAGAGAAATGCAGGAACCCATAAAGAGTGTGAAAAAATGAGCATGGGAGTGAGCACAATTCTCTTGAAATAATATTATTCTGTAAAGCAATATTATTGGGGCCAAGTGAAAAATTTCAGTGGCCAACGAGAGTGCTTTAATGTTTTTCAAATAATTATTTTAATTTTTTCCAAAAAACGATTTAAAATGCGATACATCAAAAATGGACAAATTAAAGAAAATATTCTGGCATTGGTTCCTCTCACTGAACAAACAGGGGCCAAAAATATTTTTGATGCATTTACGACCGTCGTTTCTCGATTTGATTTGGACTTGAAGAAGCTCGTATCAATATGCACCGATGGAGCGTCTGCAAGAATTGATTCGAAATTTGGTGACATAATGTTCTTCAAAAGCATTCGCTGGCTAAGCTGTGAAGATGTCTTGAGTCGGTTTTGTGATCTGTTTGATGAAATCAGACTATTTCTCATGGAACAAAACTTGGCTGTAGAATTCAGTGAAATATCTACACATATGTATGTTCATGAAAAGTAAAACTGTACTCTTTGGCCGATATTACGAAACATCTGAACGATTTGAATATGAAGTTACAAGGAAAGAATAAATTCATTTGGGACTTGGCAAAAGATATTCAAGAACTCAGGTTGAAATTGGTCTTCCCAGTGTTATACCCAAATCAATATAACAAAGAATTTGAGATAGGTTATGATACGAACATTTTCATTCAATATATTTGTTAGAGTATGCAACCCAGCACCAAAGCCAGGATCTATACCCGGCAATGTCCCTGTTGATAGTACAAATACATGGCTCATCCCTATTGGGAAGAGTCCTGTTAATTCCGTCTTAAACTCAATCTGTTTTTCTTTGAATAAATATATTTTTAGTTGAAATTTAAATGTTTCCTTTTTTCATTACTAGTTGGAGAAGGTTTATTTATTTTCCAGCTTTGAAGATTGTTTGAAGGATCGCCCCTACTTTTCAATCCCCTTCTCCAGAATTCAGGAAGAGTTCTGTCCTAACAATCCCGGCACTAATATTGGTCCTTCGATCCGGATCCATACGGCGATCTTAGTGTTTCGTAGCTTTTGTGCATTTCTTTATTTATTAAAAACAAAATATCTTTAAGTTTCTGACCATTACATTTCAGACCCTGAATTCTACTGACCTCCAATAAGCACCAACAGTTGGTAATCGAGGCCATTCAATATTAAAAACAAAATATGTTTAACACAAGAAAAAAATTGTTTACAGACGTTTCAATAAATCGGCTTGAAAACGCAAGAAAAGGGCACATACGGAAGTGGAAGTCCTCGTTGTGAAGTGAATTAAGTGTTGTGAAAAACTGCGAAAACTCCTACAAATTAAGGCGCCCAGCTGCAATAAAGTGAAAGTGCAGTGCAAGAAAAAGTGAAGAGTGGAGAAACTTCAGAAACTTGGAGCGCCATCGAGAATATTATCACGAGGCACGGCGCCCAGCTGCATAAAAGTGAAACTGCATTAAAGTGAAAGTGTCTAGAAGTGAAAATGTATAAAGTGAAGAAGGTAGAAACTTGGATCGCCGGCGAAAACTGCCACAAAACAAGGTGTCCGGCTACATCAAAGTGAAAGTGCTGTTCAAGTGTAAGGTGCTGTAAGGTTCAAGGCACGGCAAGAGCATAGCTAGAGGTCCAACGAGCAGCATACATACAGATTAAACGTTCTGCAAGACATTACACCCATACCCAACGTGCATCAAGGTACCCTCAACCAGCCAAACAGTAAGCAATACATGCAGCAAATAGGTGAGTTCCCACCCTAATTATCTTTGAGAAGAAATTGTGTTACTATTTTCCACATAATAAAATCGCTTATCACATATACAAATATATTAAAATTTTGAAGTTTTGATTTGGCAAGCTGTAAATAAAATAAATAATAAAAAATATATGCATATATACACATATATTTTTAGTGAGACATGGTGTGACCTGTATTTTGGGAGTTCAGTAGTCACCACCATTCAAATAGCCCCCTGGAAACACCGAGGCTCTACCAAGCCCACCATGTAAGTTACAAGGCTCTCCCAAGCCCACTGTGTAAGCAACAAGGCTCCCCCAAGCCCACCGTGTAAGCACCAAGGCAGCACCAAGCCCACGGTGTAACCAACAAGGCTCCACC